AACAAAGTATCAAATCTGTTCTAGAACATAGCACATTGGTTTTGTTTGGATAAACATCTTCTATAATGCCATTCTTTGAGATCAATTACTTGTTGCTGCACCACCAGTATCAAGCTATGATGCATGATATTTTTCTGTCCCCTTTCATCCCCCTTTATTTTCCTCCATGACATTCTATAAATATCCAATGTGCTATTTTCTTGTGAAAGAGGGGTTTTAGGCATTTTTTTTTACCTATATCACCATGGAAACAAGATCTGTGTATACATCTATGATCAGTGTTTCTCTAGAGTAAAAGCCTTCTATTATCTATGCAAGCTTAGGGCTAATTGTTTTGCATAAGATATGGGTGTCTTATTCCTACCGACTCCTTCGGAAATTCATTACATGTAGTTGCACATAACAAGCTGTAAAGAAGGTTTTATGAAGCCAATAATGCAGATATAATACTTGAGGAATTCCTTTTGGATTGGATATATTTATTTTTCCAAACATTTTGTTTGAGAGAAAATGAGATTGCTATCTGCTGTTTCCTTATTTTTTTGCAGGAAAGCAAAGGGTTGTTGACTTCCTCTCCCCTCCCTTCCTTCCTTCTTTCTGAAGGTACTGTACTCATCTGAAAAAAAAAAAAAAAAAAAGAGAACGAAATGATTGTTCCTGTTCTCCTTCTTAAGTCATTTGAAACATTGTCCCTGATAGTTTTCTAAGTTTACTGCAATCTCTGCACGGGGTGGGGAGGGAGACAGAGGGAGAGAGACACAGATATTACAAACATGAGAGCAGGTAGAGTTTAGGGCAAGACTCCTTCCAGCTTCAACAACTGGTAAGTTAAGTAAAATGTTTTATTGGTTAACTCTTTAGAAGTGCAATATATATGTATTTGCTTTTGTATTAAGAAAAGGCATTAATCAGATACACATTTAACTGATAAAAGAATAACAACCATATGCATTAACAAGCAGTCTATTTACGTTATAGATACCTATAGTCTTTTTTTTTTAGATACTGGTGCTATTACCATGTTGTTTAAGCTATGCAGATAGGAAAGTATTTTCCAATGAGGTTGATAATATTCATAACATAGTCTGCCGTGAATTTTGCATATAGAAGTTCTGTTAGCAGAATCTTGTTACAGGATTCACTACATCCGAATAATTTCAGCAAGATTCACTGGGCCATTGCTGAAAAACAGAGAGGAGCTGTGTCATATGCAAATCAATGTATTTCCTTTATCATCTGCCAGTACTGAAGTGTGGTCCAACACACCAACCTGTGCTATACTGGGAGAAGAATTACTGGGACTGTTTTTGTTCCCTTCAAACTGCATTGTCTTTAGGATTACACATGTTTATCTCTACTYGTCTGTGTATATGATTAGTCTAGGAGCAATGACACTTAAGAGGAGGTAAGATGGTTCCTGGMTCACACTTGGAAAAAAAKAAAACAAAAGTTCATGTTGTGTAGTACATAGCAACACTGAGGCTGATCACCCATATCAGTAATAGGAAGGACTCAACTGTTTACTTTGTAGACATCAATAATGTTTTTCATGTCGGTCATAAATGCATCAGAACGATCAGGATTGCCCTGTGAAATGAGTGATTGAATGCAAGAGTATGTTTCAAATATTAAATGAGAATAATNCCCCCATCTTTTACAGAAGCAGAATGCAGAGAGGGGCAAGAATTAGGACAGGTGACCATTTCTTTGCAGAAGGAGAATTTGTTCATCTTACAATTCAGTATTTCTTCAAGCTGCTGCTCTCTAAAGTGCAGGGCTCTCTGCAGGATGTCCAGAGCTGAGACAGAGAGGCTACAAAACGCGGACAGATATTAGAGAGGGCTTGCAGGCAGCTCCAGCTGCCCTGCTCCAGCTCCTGCTCCTGCCAGGGTACCTGGGCTCTGCTTCCTCCCTGGGAGAGCTTTTTGCTCTCCGCCCTCACTGAAACAACTAGTGGAAAGTGCGCTGTGCCTCCCTCTATCCAGAGTCTTTTTGCAATTCCTTTTTCTACAAGAAGGAATGATCTACCACAAATTCACCCAGTTTCTGGGTAAGTTATAGATTCCTTTTGCTTTGGGAGCAGCCAAAAGGGGTTATGCAAAGGTGATGGAAATAACTTGTTTMTTGAACTCCTAAGGTTCTGCCATTCAGTCTAGTTTGGTACCAGTTAATACTTTATTTGGTTATACTTAACCCATAAAAATTTTATAACCTGCTAATAACAAAYGTATGCCATGTCTTGTCATGAAAACAATTTGCCACATCTTCCACTTGGAATATCTGGGTTTATTTTTGCCTAAATATACACTGATTCAAATTAAAGAGATGATTTGGACAGCCATTTTGACAGTTACATGTCAAACACCTGGAATATCAGTTTTTGCATCGAATGAGACATTTAGAAAACTTCCAAACACACACAAAAAAGTGCATRAGCTCTGTGTAGTGGTATTTTGCTCAAACTGCAGGGTGCTGTCTGAATTCCAGCTTTTAAGTTTTGGTCTGGTTAGTTGAGAAATTTGCCATCTAAGTAAGAGCAAGCTGCAACCTTTAGGGGCAGATTTGGTTTCTGAAGGTGATAAACATTTGTGTATTCTTGGTTAAGATAATGTATAAAATAATTTCTTGTATAAAATCAATTCTKCTCTGAGACATGGTCTGAAATATGTAAATAAGTTCATTCAATTCAGAGTAGGAGAACAAAATCAGTACCTACTATTTTAAAACCCAATCCCCAATAATGAGCAGAGAAAGAGGATTTTTCAAGGAATGTTTAGTAATTTGACAGTAACAAACAGACCTTGAATTTTGAACTTCATTCTTAGATTTTACCTATTAGGTTTACTTTCCTTCAAAGAATACATTTTTTGCAATCCTTTGGAGTTAACTTGTTTTCACTTTGCATAATTTATTGCCAGAACAACTGTAACATGATTTAGTATAACAGGAGCCTGCAACAGAACTACTATCTTTCTTGAGGTGTCAGGAAGATGATTTTTTCTGCCTGATATATTATTCTTTTCCTATATCACTGAGGTATTTACAAGTAGACAAATGTATAGCTTCAGTCTGGATGGAGTACCAGCTTAAAATGATAAAAAATATTGGCATTAGAAACCAAGAATAAAAAAAAAAGGGACAGATTGTCTCACTCTTTTAAGCAAAAAGACCTTTTTTAAGCAAAAGGACTTTTTCTTAAAGTCTTACTGCTTCTATTGCTAATAGCCATATTTATGTATATAACATACATAAGTAAATGGTCAGTCAGTATATGTATTTCTTAAAAGATTATTTGAAGCCATTATTTCCATCTGATGTGTTCTCAATTATAATGAAGTAAAAAATAGAAAAATGTTGCTTTTGTATAGAAATAAAAAAATAAAGCTATACAAGTAATGGTAGAGAGGTTACAGAAACAATTGGTAGCCCGTGGAAATCTCAAGTTAACAAGTCTGGTTCAAAAAGAATAGAAACCAAGAAAAGTCTTTTTGTGAATGWCAATTGCCTTTTTATATTTAAGACCAGCTTCTTTAATGGTGTAAACTACTGAGACTTTTTGGATACAGAATRATAGCACTGAGTTATATTCCTGGTAACATTTTGTCATACCTAATGCRTATTTTTGAACAGGAAATAAGTTGAATCTTTGAATCTCAAGGAGGGTTTTTTTAAAATTGCTTTTCATTCTTAAAAACAAGCTCATCAACAAGAGCCTTGTTTTAGGACTATCTGGGTGAGGAGTAGACAGTGGTGATGTAAAAGACATGATGTGCATCTCACAGATAAACATATTGTCAATTGTTTAAGGTGATGTTCCTTGTAGTACCAAAGAGATATACAGGATTTAGAGCAGGATAAACATGAGGGGATGAATCATGGGARCAGCTCAAGACAAGCCCCATATACTGGGGCAGAAGTGTATGGATTACCTCAGACAGTACTTGTGTTGMTTACAATCTTTGAAATTGCAAAGACTCAGTGGTGCAGGAAGATGTCTGAGTGGACCGCTCMGCTACTATAGATGAGTGAGCAGAATGGTTCCACAAGAAAAAAAACAATAAAGGCTGCATAAGGTAATAGGGCTTTTCTGTGGCCGTGGTTAAAGGACACAAATCAATGGTGTGCGAGGCAATGGTGTGTAAGGGAGCACCTTACCTTCTAGTTGACAAAAAATGATCCATGGTTTCTGAGCAMCAGTGCATGTTCTTCAGTAGCAATTGAACCAAACAAACTGCTCCTTCAAACAGACCCTATAGGTGGTGTGAGACCGAAAACAGAGAGTTGTCAAATTATTCTTTTGTTGATGGACTGATTTTATAACCCAACCAAATTTAAAAAATAAACCACAATTAAAACCAAATAGTTACTTTCTTCTCAGGTGCTGTAGTTTTCCACAATCTAACTTTCGATGTCAGAAGACTACTGAAAAGAAAGGAATTTCATCTTGGGAAGAAAGAATTATAGAAACACTAATAATGCAAAGCCTTTGAAAAGTCTGGGAGAAAGAGACTAAAGTTTACTTGGGATTTTTTTCCCTAAAAATCTGATATTCTGAAACTGATACTGCAGTTTCCATCACTGTAAAAGGCAGTGGCATTTTATGAATGATATTCAGTTTTTTACCCAATGAAGATGCCTAAGTTAATCCTCAGCAGTTATTTAAAATATGCKTTGAGTTGCATGCTGGATGTGTGTTTTTTGTTTATGTCTGTCTGGCAGGGACCATCCTTCTTGCTTGGCTTCTAAAACACTAAAGAGCCAGTAAAAAACATTACTTAATGTTTGGTTTCGTTCCTTCTAAACTTAAAAACTTTTTGACTTGCTTCTGTAAACAAATGGTTTCATATATATTACTCTGCTCTTGCTGAGCAAAACACAGCATTTTCCTTCTTAACCAACATTTAATCTTCTGTGAAAACTTCTAACATCACTGGTAATAATTAAGCTAAGTAATCATGTAGTAAAAGAAAATATTTTTGTGCTCTGTAGGTTATGGGAAGAAATTATGTGAAAAAATGTTGGATTTTTTTACTTTCATTTCTTATTTCCGGCTTTTTATGTTACAAAAAGCACTATCAATTATTTAAATGAAAGATGAAAATTCCACTGTATTTTTAATCTCTCTTCCTTCCCTCCCTTTTCTACTATGACAGCTAAAACAATAACTTATTTTCCTTCTGCTTTGTGGGTGTGCAGGACTTAATTTGATTTAAAGGAAAAATCTTAGGGTAAAAAGTGTGTTTTCTGAAAACCTATTTTCCCCTTGCCAATCTCCTAAAAAGTAAACCTGGAAACACCCAACKTTTCATCTGCGTGTACTCATTGGAAGCACTAGAATATTGAAAAATTCGTATTTGAATTTAGTAAAAGCTACAAGGTGAATTGAGTCTCCTGCATGGATAACATCACCTTTTGCTAAGAGCTAGAGGGAGGAACAACCAATTTGAAATTGAAAGCAAGGCTGTGAGAAGGAGCATACATTTCTAGTTGTTTTTCTTGGATGATGCTGTACTTGAATGGATACTAATGCACAGCAAGTAGTCATCACCCTTGCAGACCTCTGTCTGGAGGCCTGATGAAGAATAGATGCCACCTAATTTTCCTACAGGGAAGAATTTTGAAGGTTGGTCTTCCCAGAATGGAGGAGCAGATGTGGTGGCTTTGGGAGAGAAGCATGTGGCTTTGCTCTTTCTTGGGGAGCAGCTTATTCTGACAAGCCCCTCTGATAAGCCCCAAGRGTGTTGGCTGGGAAGGACACTTTGACTTCTAGTCTTGCTTTTTGCTAGTTTATTGCTATTCCTGACCATGAAAGAGCCACTTACA